CACACACGCAGACACACACACACACACACACACGCACGCATACACACGAGGACCCCGTCAGGCCGTCACAGACCTGATGTGCTGCCACTTAATCAAATGAACCGTCACTTGTTGTGCCCTTCCACCCCCACTGGGATCCTCATCATCGGCCATGATTGCCCCCAACTAACCTCCAACTGCCTCTCCTCCTCCAACCGAAGCTCTCAGCTCTCCTTCATCTCTGAGGCTTCACAATTATCATCAGCTGTGATTCATTCCTGAGGGGAAGCTTCATTCTTCGTTTTATTGCCCCACTCATCCCGTCACATCGCTCAGATGTCGGTCCAATCAATCACTCCCAGTCCAAAGACCACAAAACAGCTGAGAAAACAAACCAGCGAAGCCGTGGAAGTCGTCTCCACTCACCTGCACATTTGGTCCTGGTTATCAGCGGCGGCCCCGGCGGCCCGGTCCCCCCTTCGCCCGGTCTGGACAGCAGAACCTTGATCTCATACTCCACATCTGGGTCCAGATGCCATAACTTGTAGGTGGGGGCGTCAACCACGTGGGTCTCAGCCCAGTTTCCTGTGGTGGTGCGGTACTCCACCTCCTTCAGGATGATCGGCCCATCTCCGATGATGCTGTTGGCGTTGGGCTTGATCCACAGGTAGGTGGCGCCAACGGCGAGGAGCTCAGGGGGAGCGATGGGAGTGGGCGGGGCTGGAAAGTACAAGCAACAGAAGATAAACATGAATGGGCATGTTGGGCCTGAACGGTGCCGATATCCTGCATGTTTTAGAGTGTTTTCATCCTAAAAGGTGGAAACTCCCACTGGCTCAGGTTAATACCAGAAATAAGATTAGCTGCCATAAATACGCAGATGATGTTTAGAGCAGATAAATGTGTGGATGTGCCAAAACTTTCTCCAAATGAACAGAAACAGAACTGAAGTTATTATCTTTGGACCTACAGAGGAACGATCTAGAGTCAACAGCTTCAGTTATTACAGCTGGAAACTAAAGATCAGGCTGAAATCCTGGTGTAGGACTCTGACCTGAGCTTTCAGAGTCACATAAACACAGTTACAAATTCGGCTTTCTGCTACCTGAAGAGCATTTCCGGGCTTAAAGGACTTAATGTGTTGAAAAACTGCAAAACAGCCGAAAGACTGAGTTCCTTTATATCAAGGCTTGAAACCCCCCTGTTTAGTTACCTTTGACTCATAAAAACAGAAACATTGATCAACATACTTGATGTCTATTTGCTTGATTATTTTTACAATGGCATTAGACAAAATTTAATGGTTGGTGTTAAAATATGAAATTATTTTATGATGTAAAAGACTTTTAATTAAGCTATATAGAAAAACCTGACCTCACACTTGATAGTGCAGTAGATTTGGGTCGATTGGGAAACAAAGTTGCAATATTTGTTGCATTTTCCAGCTGTTGTTCTCTGTGTGTCAAAAAATCAAAGTCTTTGAAAAATCTGTTCCCCTCCTCGCCTGTGGGGGCGCTGCACCAAGAACCGCTTCAGGAAACAACACAAATAAAACCTCAGAAAAATACTCTGAGTTCAACTTCCTTCTTCACCAAACATAAGCAAAACTGGAGTGGCTCTAAGCAGTTCTAGGATTTCTCTTTTGTCTTTGGCTGAAGACCACAAGTCATTTATCCAGCTAGCACTATGTTGGCACATTTGTTTTGGTTGCAATTACCCAGAATTCCCTGCTCTACAGTCTGCTTCCTGCTCCAGTCCGCTTGGCTTTTTTGATTTACATCAGCATTCGGTTGATAATTCAAACTTCTCCAAACAAACCAGACTTTCTAGGCAAACAAACTGGAGTCTGATTGAAGTGGACCAAACAGGGCTGGTGTAGCCTTAGCTCTCTCACTGGTTCAACATGTCTGGATCAAATGTTGGCTCATTAACGGGCCTCTGCAGAACACTGAGATGCTGAGGCGGCAGCTACTTCCCGGCTGTTGAACCAGGGAGAGAGCTAAAGCATGAAGGAGGCCGGCCCTTGAGGACTGACTTTGGAAACCCCTGCTGTAATGTGATTAACTGAGCTCATCGTCACAGAATTATTTAATATATTTAAGCCCAATCAATGTTGCTGAAGTATGCAATACTTGAACTGATTAATTAATTTTGTAAAGCCCACCCTCCCCTTCTTTTCCTGTCCTTTTACCCTCAAGTTCTTCAGAGTAATTTTCAGAAATGAACCCAAGATGTGAAAATGCTCAGGCTTAAGACGGTCTAGTCAACTTTACATTATTTCTTTTTCTGTCAATAATCCATCCATTCATAACCTTCCACTGCCTGAAATCGGGCTGAAGAGCCAACATTTTCTAAAAAAAAATCAAAACTATAACATTTCCAGATACTTTGTGTGGTTTCTAAGCCATTCAATTCAATATTTTGTCTTGCCATCGAGTCCTGGGTTTTCTCCCAATGGCAGGAAAACACCTTGGAGGCATCCTGAATGGATGCATGTTCCTCCCTCACCAATGCAGAGAAGGGCCTGAACCCTAAACCAAATGTCTGCAACCTGCAGATCCAGCGACACGAGTGGCTCATTAAAATGTCTCCAAAGGTTCTTGGGTCTTCAGCTAAAACTGTTTTATAGCAACAAACATAGATTTCAGCAGTTTTTTCTTTACTTTTGACATTAAAACAGTGGCATGGTTCTAAAAGCTGTAAATTTTTTAGCTATTTTTCAGTTTATATCCTATAGCACTGAAAAATTAGATCTACTAATGCTAAAGCACAGTATTCAGTGGAAGCTAATGCGAAACAGCTAATTTAAATTAAAATTGTATCGGCCATTGAAAGACTTCAAGCCTCAAGCACCAATTTAATTTTGACATTATAATTCAGATGATCTATATCATACTTATGTCTTCTTCTCTACTGGCCGTGTTCTACTTTATTCCTGTATGTTTCTTGTTTGAAATAAAAAAAAGAGAAAATGGGAGGAGAGGAATCGTCTTCACTTCAAAATAAGAGCACGAATATTAGCAGTTACTAACTAAAACTTTAGCACAGATTTCAAACTTTATTCAACTGGAAGGTTACAAAAAAAGCCAGATCAACGAGTGCTTTAGAATGTTTTTAAAATAATTACTTTTAAAAACAGTTTCATATTACAGCATTTTATGGGATCAGTGAAAACTTGGGGCATGAACAGAAAATGCGTAAAAACGCCTGACAGCATTTACAGCAGCTGCAGTTTCTGTGGAATTGTTTTTGCCGAGTGTTTCAGCTCAGTTTATGTGTCTTCACTGGCCGGCACCCTTCCCTCATTCAGCAGTCTCTCCCTTTCCGCGTCGCTGCCTTCATCGTCCAAATAGAGGAAGCTAAGTGTGCTTAACATTGTCAGAGTTAACAAAACGCTAAATCAAAATAGTTCCACTATTACTGCATTTATGGATACTGCAGTACATATTTATCAACAAGTATCATTTGCGGCTCTAAGGTTTTATGTAGCTGATTAAAGTTTGCAGACAATCAGGTGAGACGAAGCAGATTCTCAGCTCATCTCTAAGAAAAATCCTAGCCCCCGCTAACAGCTAACAGCTAACGGCTGCCTTTTTGACGATGCTTAAATGTAGATGGAGCTTTAACAGCGAGAAATGCAATCAGTTCATTTTTTAAGATGGTCAAGAGAGTTATGCTGCAGCTGACGATGCTATAATTATAATTTAAAGAAATGACTCAAACTGCCTCTAAGCTTAGGATATTTTCTTGCTTCTTATTTCATACAAAAGCTTAGATTTTTATTAAAGCAACTACGTTTTGAAACATTCAGCTTCTGTATAATTAGAAAAACAGTGCAATGTATTCCAACACAACATAGAAAAAACAAAATCAGCTTATAGACAATGATGAAAAAGACATATGCGAATCGGCCAAGGAGGAGATTCAAAGACTGTTTACAAGCCAAGCAGTAACATTTGCCTCCGACAAACAAGCGAAGCTGCGGCGGCGTAGCGACATAAATCTGAAAGCGGCTCAGTTAAAGAGCAGCAGGAGCAGATGGAAACAATGACAAGGAAATTAATTGGACTTTTCCCGTTAGTCATCAGACTGCCTGCGCCTGTGAAGCACAGCGCTCATCAGCATGATGTACGGTAATTACCACGGACAGCTCCGGCTCGTCTGCGGCCCTGAGACCAAAACCTCGGACACCGATCGTCACAAGAGTTGGGAACACAAAGGAGCCTTTTTTATTACTCAAATGTTAAACAAAAAGATTTATGCATCCTGAGCGGCTCTGAGCTGAAAAAAGGCTTCCATGCAGATCAAAATCTTTTCACTTTCAACACCTAAATGAGTTTTTAGAAGAAATGTTGAGATGCAACTACATCAAAATGTATCTCCTTAAACAAGGGCACCCAGCACTTTTCTTTAAATTTGGACATTTTTTAATATTTTTTTCTCAGAAAAAGTTTGCATTTCACCTGCAAAGAATAACATTCCTCCTCCTGCTGCAGTCTTAAAACCAAAGTCCCGGTTTTACTCAGAAAGTTTCTTTTTGTTGCTTCCCTCAAGGCTGCATTAGCATATGTATGACAGCTGATGAATCAACTGTCAGTCGGTGCACACTCATACATCTCAACTATGTGGAAGCAGATTGTGCGTACGGCCATGGCTCCAGACATCAGGCATCTCTTTATCCACCGCTCTAATCTGAAGATGTCATTCAGCAGCAGCATGAATCACCAGTTTGGGGCTTTTTAGGATTGATTCAAACAGTTCTTTTTCCTGAGAAGAATGACTAACAGAATGACAACAGAAGACATAAGTTAGAAAGTACTGATCTCTCACATGGTCAGGACCGCTAATATTGGATCATGTAATGAAACAAAACTGAAGTCATTATCTTTGGCCCTAAACAGGAACTTCAGAGCTTCAGTTGCTACAGCTGGAAACCAGAGATCAGGCCTGAAATCTGGGTGTACTGATGGACTCAGACTGAACCTTCAGAGCCACATAAAGACAGTTACAAAGTCGGCCTTCTATCACCTGAAGAACGTTTCTAGGATTAAAGGAGTAATGTCACAGCGTCACAGCGAGATCTAGAGAAACTCATCAGTGCTTTTAGCTTTAGTTGCATCGATTACTCAACAGTATCTAAATCAATCATCCAGCTGCAGCTGATCCAGAACGCTGCTGCTGGCGTTCTGACTACAACCAGGAAGAAAGAGCACACCAGTCCTTCCACTGAGAGAAGAGACTTTAAAATACTGCTGGTAGTTTATAAATCACTGGACGAATTAAAGATTTGCTGCTGCTGGATCAACTTTCCAGACCTCTCTGGTCTTCTGGTTCTGGTTTAGATCCAGAACCAAACATGGAGAAGCAGCATTTAGCTTCTGTGCACCACAAATCTGGAACAAATTTCCAGAAAACTGTAAAACAGCCGAAACACTGAGTTCCTTTAAACCTAGATTAAAAACCCACCTGGTTAGAGCTGCTTTGAATCATTGATCAACATTTTGATGTGTAATGACGGCACATGGCAAAATAGAAAGTTTCAATTATTGATTTTAGTGTTTTTATGATGTAAAGCACTTTGACCTGTCTTGTTGAATCAATAATCTTGATTGATTGATTGATTGATTGATTGATTGATTGATTGATTGATTGATTGATTGATTGATTGATTGATCTACTTTTAAACGTACAGCTTCTGAGAAGCTGCAAAAGGTGTGTTT